GATTCACAAGTCAGACCATTTGATGTAGAAGGTGGTGGCCTATACACAACAATGATTCGTACAGGATTTGAAACATTAGATACCATATCCATATATTCAAACGATTTAAACTGCATCCGAGAGATTTGCTTAAACGCAAAAGCCTTTTTGTAAATCAATGCCACTCCACCACCTCTGGATTTCCTGGCAACGTGCTTAAAGACATAATTCAAAGGCGTACAATTTCTAATTATATATTCATTCTGACTGTCTTGATTCAGCCACGTTTCAGTTATATCGACACTATTATTGGCAATAAATTCTCTGATTGCTGTAGATTTGTTGCTAATGGATCTTGCATTTAAGAGACTAAACTTGGCCCTTCTGGTAGGTCTAAAACTAGTATCAGTTCGGCATATAGGAATCAAGATAAGGTCGTTGCGATTCACAGTTTGTTTATGACGACGGACATGTGGTTGGCGAGGCGTGACTAATGTTTGAATATTATATGCAACTTCGAAATTCTCCCCTACTGTTTTAACCGGGCGCAGAAAGCGAAAATTAGGTTTTTCAGTCCTTTTCCGTTCTCTTAAACCTGAATATACAACAGGAATAGTAAAAATACGAGAACTTATCTGAGAGGTATATCGCTTTGATTCACGTATCATAGGAGATGCAGCAAGCAATGTCTTCGGGTTCGAGGGCACTAATGGCGAACGCATTTGACTAGGTTTTACAGTTGAATCAGATTTACAAGCACGAACTCCCACAGGTCCAGGATTTATGGCAACGTCCATATAAATAGTAAGGTCTTCTTTTGGAAGGGACCTTGGAGACGCCAACGACAAATATCCATGCTTCGTCCACGAACAATTTCCACATGAGCAAGGAAGCTTCGTACACAATATCCTTATTGATATTGATTTCGGTCGATAAAATGAGCAGTCAATGGGATAGTTTCCATATTTGCCACTAATCTTTGAGTATGAGCTACAAATATAACTCGATAAGCACAAAACCGCCAGAAAAAGCAAGATAGAACTACGGGAGTAATTCACACGACTACACATGGCTACGCTTCATGATGAAGCTATCTTCACCAAACTTGCTGGGGTTACTACGATTACTGAAAACTATAAAACACCAAAGTTTCAGAAGGATAGATACACTAACGCCAAAGTTATAAACGAAATATAAATCCTGACGAATTGTAAACAATATTACGCAGACAGTACGCGATACAATCCAAAACGCGGATAACTCACAGAATAATCAACATAACTAGGCCAAAAAACACATTAAACTGTTCCAAATGATCGACAAAGTACAAATCTAACGACAGTTTACGTAAACAACGCAGCACAAACGATAAATATACGGACCAACTTGACACGAATGACGAATTCCAAGTTATAATTAATACAAAAGTACACCAACGGGCAGATATATATAAAATATAATTCAGGATCAGAATAACTTGAGAGGCCCAGACTTTGACAATATAATACAAATACAAGTCACAATCCACACAGTAAATTTGAACAAATTCCAGAAATCACAAGACAAGTTATACGGCCAGAACGAAAATAGCCAGATTGTAGTGGCGGGTGATAATAAATATTCCAACGCGAACACAGATTCCGATATAATTCTTTACTGCGATATAATATTAATACAAAAAGCAAACAGCGATATTCACCAGATCTTTACGGTTACTTTGATATCTTATTTATGTACAGAATTCACAAAAAACGACAAAATTTACAAAATAAAACTTAGCCAAAAGGCCAAGAAGCGATGCCTTCTTCGCCGTTTGCCACACATATTTCTACGGAACACTTGTGCTACGAAAACGCGATGAGAAGGAGCTCGCTTGCGAGCGATTATGACGTCGACAATCGCTTGATCACTCGTCGCACGAGCACGGCAAGTCCATGGTGATCGCCCACCGCCACTCTCGCGGTTCTCTCGCGCACACGTGTGTGGTCGTGGAGAGGGGCACGGCGGCCATGTGGCATGGACCGCAAGACGAGAGTTGCGAACGTATCGGCTTTCGCGCTCCTTAAAGATCCAGGAATGCGTCAAGCTTCTTTCACTTCCAAATTGCATTGTGACCCGGAAAGGTTTCAGGTCACGCACCGTGAAATAAATGCGATGTTTGAATAAATGTTTACTTGGTATTCTATAAGTTCGACCGGCAAAACATGTGCGTTTGAGTGACACGCGAGCCAGTTAATCGGCGCTTGAAATGTACGTGCGATGGACTGAAATTCCGTTGGCAAGCAAGTGACTTTATACAGCGAATTAATTGAATAGTGTGCAAAGTCTCGAAGTGCTTACAAAATATAAGCATGTATACCTTTACTTTACCATATAATATGAACACGAGATGGAGATTTCGGCACGGAGAATATATATATATAGGGTGTCTTCTGTGATAAATGATATGTTCGACATCTGATTCTATACAAAAACAATCGACACACGGCATTGTTAGGAAAAAAACACACGGCTTTATACATTTATATAATATGTTGAAGGGGACGAGCGCGAACGCAGGTCCCCACTACCACAAATTATACACTCGAGTTACCCACATTAGGGGTAATCGCAAGAGTCAACCCAGTCGAAGTGCAATGAAAGGGCCTCATCCTGAGAGGACCTCCTAGTTGATCAAGGTGCCTCTCGCGTCAGGTAAGTATGCTGTTGTTTGCGCCGCTCACCTTATATACGCGATGATGATGAGACGCGATTGTGGTAGTTCGGGGGTTTCCCTCTTGTCTTGAACGTCATGTGCCGCGATCTAGAGAGTGAGAAAGTATGTTAGTCAAATTATATGTAGTCGATTCGGTTCATAGTTTAATGAAAGCACGCTCACAAGGTGTAAAATATCGACATTGGATAATAATAAAGTGTTACAAGTCATATGATATGTATGTTACATATGCATGAGACTGAGCCGTGATTATATTTCACGTGCTATTCGAGAGTATGGTGTTAATATAAATCTATCGGCATGTGAAAACCCCCGTGTACTTAAGTGTGTGTGTAATCTTTTAATAACCTGGAGATTGTTTTATAGTTTGATTTGTTTTTGAAATAAAAAAATGTTCTTCCCCGAGTGGGGAAGGGGCCGTACTCGGATGTAGTGCAATACCGAGACAACCCGTGGCCAGGGCGAAGCAAGCTTCAATCCCATGGCCGAAGTCCAAAAATCAGTTTAATATACGAGTTAGGCATTGCCTAACATATCAGATATTAAGCTGATAAGAACAGATACTACACTTGATCTTATTTTGAATTATACGACAACGGTTTAAGTAATTCCGACGGTGCAATGGAATCTGTAAAACCGGTGAATTTGCCGTATCCAGAGGGGCCGCTACCCAGCGACGCAGATCTACAGAGAGTACGACTCTCTCCCTCGTGCCATGATGCGACCATGAATGGCCTAAACGCTCAGGTACTGTTCAGACACCTTCATGCTCAGGGATCCCTAAAACCTAAGATGGAGAATGATTGAAGGCATGGTACTGACTGATGTTGAAATCATCATGATAAGCAACGACCCCAGATCAGGGAATAATAGTGCGCACAATAAAGGAGACCATTGAACCCGACAGCAGTACACCAATGAAGGAGACCACTACCCCAAGAGACAAAACAAAATACTAATCAAAACAAAATGACATGACAAAGGAATGACACCATGAAGACAATAAAATTACGGACTGCACATAATGGAAAAAGGATCTACGACAGAAGCATTGCGAATAACTGAAATGACCAAAAAAAGGACATTTTGCTGTCGTACCCAGACTAAAACGTATACAAGGGTTTATGTTATCAACTGGTACAAAACATGTAATCGGACAAAAACGCCCTACAAACAAAAGACAAATCCCCAAAATAACAGCAGTAACTACCAATAAAGGCGACCACCACATTCCAGGGAAACAAAAAGGACATCACATGATAAAATCAGGTGAAAAGCGAATCCAATCTTGATCGGTAATAGAACCAACGATACCACCAGCTAACCAATCATGAGTAAAACGATCCATTGGATGATGACGTTTCTGCATTCGAACCAAAAAACGAAAAGTGGAACGGGCTTTACAAAGGGTATCTGGAACATCTGGAGGGATAGACTCGAAGCGATGCCGATTTCTTGTAAGCCAAATATGATGTCTTAAAACACCCATCAAGGCAGAAAATACCACTGGAACACGAGGTGATGAAGGAAAACCAAACAGAATTTCACCATTGGTAAGAGCCGCCGCATGCTTGAACTTGCGGAATTGGGATAAAAACTACGAGAAGATCTCACGAGCAAATGGGCAGGTAACAAAAAGATGAATTAATGTTTCAGGTTGTTGACAAAAACATAGCGGGTTGACAGCCATCCTCATGCGAACCAAACGATCAGAAGTGGGTAATATACCGTGTCCTGGACAGATCGTACAAATCTCCACACAAGAAGACTAGACCAGACACTTTTCCAATCAACAGCAATACCCCAATCCTGGAACTTGGCAACTGAGCAATGATCAACATGTTCATATTTGGACAAAAGGGAATATCCAATTCGCGCTGTGACTTGATCGATGGGAAGAGGATCAATAGATGGACGCGGAATCACCCATTCCGAATCAACACGTGTACCTTTAAGCTGAATCCAAGATTGAAGCAAGGATGCGTAAAAAGGAGGTAACTTTTTGACTAGATAAGCAGGAATAGCGTTCCTTTCCATTAAGGTACAGACTTCTTGGTTCGAAAAAAATCTTTTCACATGATATGCAAAAAACCAAGACCAGGGATGCGTCGCAGGATTCGACAAAAAAGGCTTCAACCAGATCACATGAAGGGACGAAACTTTGCGCGAAACGTCGACAACACCTAAGCCACCATCCGCAAATGACTGAGTGACAGAAGATCGAGCCATCCATTCACGTTTCTTGTTCCAAACAAAGGGAAAAAGGAGCTTATTAATGTGGAAGATCGCTGTCTTTGGCACATCAAAAATCGTAGCCTGATACCAAAAAATGCTCAGACCCAGGACATTTGCTATCATTGCACGCCCTCGAAAAGATAATTGGCGGCTCGTCCAAACGGATAGTTGATTTCCAAATTTCTCCAACAGGTAATCCCAATCCGGAATGATGTTATTCCCCAACCGGCAGCCAAGAACAGTGATGAACTCATTAGACCAGTGAAGGGCAACAGGTAAGTTGGACCGAGATTTCCAGGCTCCAATTAATAATCCATGAGACTTTGACACATTCAATTTAGCACCCAAAGCATGCTCATATCTTTCAAAAAGAGAAAACAGGGAACAAAGCGATTGATCAGACATCACAAAAACACTAGTATCATCCGCATACTGAAACAACTTATGCCGAACACCATTGGGAAGAGAAAAACCATCAATATCTGGATCTTTACGGATAGCACTCGCAATTGTTTCCGCCACAAGGATATATAAAAGTGGGGACAGAGGACATCCTTGACGAACACCACGTGTAACTGGGAAAAGGTCGCTCGTAAAATCATTGACCAGAACTTGAGAAAAAATTTGTGTGTATAATAATTTGACCCAGGCACGAAAGGATGGACCAAAGTTCATTGCTTCCAAGACTCTCAACATAAAAGGCCATTCCACTCGGTCAAAGGCTTTCTCTTGATCGAGAGATATTAAAGCTGCTCCAGTATTGGAATCATTAGCATAGTCAATAGCGTCTTGTATAAAACGAACATTCTCACTGGAAAATCGACCCGGAACCCCACATGACTGTGCAACTCCAACGACGGAAGAAATAATGGAGAGCAACCTATTTGTTAAAACTTTAGATAATATTTTGTGGTCGGTGCAAAGAAGAGAGATGGGACGCCAATTCTTTGTGTCCAACTTGTCACCACGCTTGTATAAAAGAGTAATCAGGCCCGTTCTTTGGGAAAATGAAAGTTTGCCAGAGATAAAACACTCATTATAGACATCGACCAAATCTGAACCAAGAATGGACCAAAACTGACGATAGAATTCATATGGTAAACCATCGACACTGGGCGACTTGTTGTTTTTCATCTGCTGAAGGGCAGACTTACATTCTTGTTCTCGAATAACACCTTCACATGCCCCCGATTCCAATGATGATAATGACAGCTCCAGGGAATTAATGAAAAAATCCTGGTCACTAGCAACAAGAAGAGATGCGGAAAAAAGTTGAACATAAAACATACACCAGACACAGAGAAGAGCGGAGATCGAAGAGACCACAACCCCCTGTGTATTCCGGATACCAGAAAACAGTTTCTTCACGACGTGTGACTTCTCCTGCCGAAAAAAATAACTAGAAGATGTTTCTCCTTCTTCAGCCCATCTTTCTCGAGCCCGGATTTTAGCACCTGTTGCAACATGAAGATGTTCGATCTCTAATGCAGATTTCGCTTCATTAATTAAACCAGACACTTCCTCCCCATTACGTTTACGTCGATCAAGATGAAACAAAGAATGCTCCAAAGACTTGATACGAGATTGACGTTCGCGAGCTCGACAAACAGAATAGCGACGAGACATGGACCGGATTCGTTTCTTCCCAGCATCCCACCAAACGGCTAAAGATGGGAAAGATACTTTTTCTTTCTGCCATTCGGACCAAAAGTCACGTATCATGGAGATATAATTTTCTTCTTTGAGTAAGGAGGCATTCAATTTCCATACACCTGAACCACGCCTTGGCATGGAAGGTAACTTGAAAGTCATATATACGTATGAATGATCTGAGCGAAAAAATGGGAGAATGTCAACTTGATCTGCCGTGCCCAGAAGAGTTGAAGTAATCCAGAACATATCCAGACGGGATGCCTGAGAACCATTGGGACGACGCCAAGTATAATCGCGTGTGGAGGCATGACGTTTACGCCAAACATCAACTAAATTGAGTTCGGACGTAAGAAGGGAGAGCGACTGCGCCCAATTATATGCCCAATACGAGTCTGCATTGCAGCCGAAACAATCAAGATTCGGATTAACAACGGTGTTGAAGTCGCAACCCAAAATGGTCGGAAAGGAAGGATCTAGTTGGGAAAGAACGTACGAGAAGAACTCTTCGCCAGGCTGCTTACGATTAGGACAATAAACACAAGCGACTTGAAAAGAAGAGGATTCACTAGAACTAACTGAAAAGTGTGCAATAACAAGACGACCAGCATCATCAGTAACAGAATGGGCTAATTGGACAGTTGAATTATACAGAATGGCCACTCCAGAACTACGATGAAATTCAGGCGATGAAACCACAGAATAATGTTGGAGATTATTACCATGTTCAGATTCCAAACGAATCCACGAATCGAACTCTTCGCAGGATATGGAATGAGTTTCTTGAAGGCATATAATATCAGCCTTGACACAATTAAGCCAAGAAAACAAAGTAGTACAATTAAGTGCTGAGCGAAGACCTTGTACATTTAAGGTTAAAATGGACAAATTAGAATGCGCCATTATGATTAATTATTAAAAACACAAAAAATTGGTACCAAAAAAAATTATGTGAAAAAACCTGAGAAAGGATCAATCCTTTCCCGGATAATCAGAAAAAAATTCCGCAATTACACGACTTTCTATAGACGCTTGAGAGTCCACTGGTACTAAAATTGGTTTACCTCCTGGAACGTTACCAGGGAGGTTCGGGGTAAACTGAGTCAAGGGAGAGTCCAAAATATTGCTGTTGCTAATAAATCCTGACCATCTGCGATCACAGGATCTGATAGAGCGTCAGAGAACAGATCCTCCAGATGACCATCAATATCATCATCACTTAATTCGGATGAAGAGAAATCACCACACTTCCGTTCTTTGTTCACTGGTGAGCGAGAACGCGCCCGAGGAGACCGACGACGCTTCCTCCGAGCACGCTGAGAGTGAACTTCAACTGCACCAGACTAATTGTTAACACTAGCAGCCTGCTGTGGACCAAGTAACGTCTTGTCACAGACTACAGCTGACACAGGAAAGTTAACATCCCTGGTTGGGAGTTTATCAGATACATTCACATCATTAACCACAGGAGGAAGAGTGGGACCAACAATAGTGGTCGACGGATCAACAGGGATCTCAGCCACAGGCAGATCACCCCCAAAACCGCCAGGATCTTGGTCCCGAACCACTTGCTCTACTAAATGATTCACCACCCGTTGCTCATCCTGAATCTTGGACGGGCATTTCGAACTAATGTGGCCCTCCTGACCGCAAGTAAAACAAGGCTGTTTCTGACCTTTATAGTAGATGCTGCACCAATGCCCCGCAATGCGCATCCGAACCGGAATATCCCGCGCAACCTCCATTAGAACATTATGCACCCCGGTGTATACGTGCAAATATTGCTCGCTTTTAATTAACTTTATTGGCCCTAAAGGCCCAAGCGCGGCAGAAATAGCTTCATTGGGGACACCATAAGATAATTTTGTTACATTAACCCACTTGAAGGAAGAGATAGGTTTAAATATAACTGGCCAACCCCGAACAGTATAGCCGAAATTCTCGGCAGGCACACGAAAGCGACCCGGCGCCATATAAACAAAAACTTCAAAGGTAGTGCGAAAATTGTCACACTGGCCCTGAAACTCCTCTATTACCTCCCTGACATTAACATCACAGGCTTCTAAATGTTCGGACAGAATAATGTCTGCCGTACGATTCAAAAAAGGAATCATTGTAGTTGTTGAAAATAATTAACCTGGGCAAGAACGGCATATCAAAATGCCGTCAAGCACAGCACTTTAAACAAAACTCAACCAAGAACCTATAGTCCACCCCCCGTTCAGTTTCCCCCTAATGGGCCCCTGGATTTGGGAACAACCAGAAAACACACCAATATATATATATAGAAAATAATACCACAATAGACTTGTGGTGCAGACAAAATTACACACTCACAAACTCCAAATTAGGAGAGGAAAAAAAAAACTGCACAAGACCAAGGCAAGAGCAAGACCAAGGCAGAACCAAAACCACGGCAAGACCAGGGCCAAACCAAGACCAAGGCAGGACCAAGACCAAGGCAGGACCAAAGTAAAACCAAAGCACAATCAGAGCCAAAGCAGGACCAACAGGGCACCACAATAACTGGCCAGGATAGAAAAACTCCAAAAAAAGCAGCAGGAAAAACTTTCCAAAAAACCATAGATTGACCACCAGCCAAAAAAGGTAAAACTTCCCAATTAGCCAAAAGGCCGAGAAGCGATGCCTTCTTCGCCGTTCAGCACACATATTTCTACCGGACACGAAAACGCAGTGAGAAGGAGCTCGCTTGCGAGCGACTAGGACGTCGACAAGCGCTTGATTACTCGTCGCACGAGCACGGCAAGTCCGTGCTGATCGCCCACAGCGACTCTCGCGGTTCTCTCACGCACGCGCGTGCGGTCGTGGAGAGGGGGCACGGCGGCCATGTGGCATGGACCGTGAGACGAGAGTTGCGAACGTATCTGCTTTTGCGCTCTTTAAAGATTCATGAATGCATCTAACTTCTTTCACTCACAAATTGCATTGTGACCCGGAAAGGTTTCGAGTCACGCACCGTGAAATAATGTGATGTTTGAATAAATGTTTACTTGCTATTCTATAAGTTCGACCGGCAAAACACGTGCGTTTGAGTGACATGCGAGCCAGTTAATCGGCACTTGGAATGTATGTGCGATGGATTCGCGGGGCTTCAGTGGCAAGGAAGCGTTACTTTATACAGCGAATTAATAGTGTGCAAAGACTCGAAGTGCTTACAAAATCTACACGTATAATAGCTGCTTTACTTACCATAATATGAACACGGGATGGAGATTTCGACACGGAGAATATAGAGTGTCTGTCCTCTGTGATAAATGATATGTTTGACATCTGATTCTATACAAAAACAATCGACACGGGCAATGTTAAAAAAACATAAACCGGCTTTTATACATGAATATTATATGTTGAAGGGGACGAGCGCGAACGCAGGTCCCCACTACCAGAAATTATACGCTCGAGTTACCCACATTAGGGGAAATCGCAGGAGTCAACCCAGTCAAAGTGCAATGAAAGGGCCTCATCCTGAGAGGACCTCCTAGTTGATCAAGGTGCCTCTTGTGTCAGGTAAGTTTATGTCTGTTCGAGACAAGTTCTCACCCACTTGGGCTTGTGCAATGAATTTGTCTATAACGAGGAGTGTGCACCGGCACACAAACAACTAGGGAGATGATCCCTAACTCCTCCTTAAATGTACCCGGGTATTATTATTATTCTGATGCCCCATTGGGGGTACATTTAAGCCTATTTAGTATATATTTATTTATATTTAAAAACTAAGAACTAAACTAGGCATTTAAAAAACGCCACCTCCCACAAGAGAAGAGCAGCCAAAGAAAATTCTAATATCTAGCTAGGAAGGCAAGGGGATAGTTGATTCCAATCCCGGCAGTTCAACCAATGAAGGCGACCCCCGGTCACAGAACAACAAAGACATTTAAAAAGAGAAGACCAGCTTCTCGCCCTGGAAATGACCCAAACGACCACTTGCAAGCCACTCCTTCTCAAAAGATCGAACTTGAGCTGGTGACTTGCATTTCCGACCAAGAAGACAAAGGACAAACTTGATTCGGACGATCAATTTGTTGAGACATTCCGACTCAACGGACATCTTGCCTCGAAACCGATAATCACAACGAGCTACCCAAATGATGTGCTTCATCATATGAAGCATCCATAAAATGACCAATGGAATCTTACGACGACTTTCCGTCGTGAAACCAAAGAGTGGCTCGTCTACAAGAAATTTGCTTGCTGTAGGATCAACCTGCAGCAGGTTAAAAAAGATCCATCCTGTCACAATCCTGGCAACTCGACATTTGAGAAAGAGATGCTCCAGCGTCTCCTCGTCAGCGCCACAGAAGCACTGAGGATCTACAATGAGCCATCCCAAAATCATGTCTTAAATGGGAACCGGTGTAGAGGACACTGTGAGCTACTTTCCAGTTCAGATCTATGACGAAACGGTCCAAGGTGGTAATATGCAACTGAGCCCATGTTTGAGCCCAGTGCAAAGGACCATAGTCGCCATAGAAATGTAATACGCAGGTTGGCTCACGGTACCGTTTAAGTTGTCCAAGACGATATGTATTACAAGAGGAGAACTGCGATACAGGCAAAGGCGTATCGGAAGATGCCTGCAAAGCGAGTTCATCCCCTGCCCTGTCCCCATCCAACGCACGCCATGTGTGGAAGATGATGCAATAAAAGGGGGGTAGGGCGTTCATCAAGCGACTAGGATGAATATGTTCAAAAGCCTCTTGCGGGGACCTGCCCAAACAAGAGGTGATAAAAAATTTAAAAAAGCTCTTCCATTTGTCTCGTTCTGGAGCGAAAAACCTTTTCACCCACTGCAGAGCGAAGGACTCGGCCTTCCTTTCAAAATCTATGACACCAAAGCCTCCCCGAGACTTTGGTAGACATACAGTGGTGCGAGCAACCAGATCTTTCTTGCCCGACCAGAAAAAGGACCAAAGAGCTTTCGTGATGTGTTTTGACGCCCACGCCGGCATTGCAAAGACGTGACTCAAGTGCCAAATCTGCAAGAGCGCCAAAACATTTATGATGGTCGTTTTGCCCTGTAATGAGAGCGAACGACGAGACCAGGCGGACAAGCGTGATTCCAGTTTGGCTACAGGCTTTTCCCAAGTGGGGATGGTGTAATCTCCCACACTAAAGGTAGCACCAAGAAGAGGAAGTTCTTTTACCCACGATAGCCCAAAAGGTGTATCGGTTCTACTCTTCCAGGCACCAAGCCACATGCCTTTTGACTTGCCCCTATTTAACTTTGCACCAGATGCTTCCTCAAAGGTGTCATAGATGTTAAACACCTCCTTGATCGACTCGTCCGTCGTCACTGCTTTCGTGGTATCATCTGCATATCCAGAGCATTTGTACTGCTCAATGGAATCGGGGAGATACACACCGGTAACATGAGGTGACGTACGGATGTTGACTGCTAAGATTTCAATGCAGAGCACATAGAGGAGAGGAGAAAGAGGACAGCCTTGACGCACACCACAAGATGGCTTAAAGAATGTAGAGATCCAGCCATTAATTACCACTGCTGACTCTACATCCGTATAAACTACAGAAGCTTGGACCAAAATTAAAATGTTCTAAACTACGTAACAGAAAACCCCAATCCACTCTATCGAAAGCCTTCTCTTGATCTAAAGAGAGAAGGGCTACAGGCAGATCTTCACGCTGTACATACTCGATCAGATCGCGAATGAAAGAGAGGTTTTCTGAGATCGTACGACCAGGCACACCACACGTTTGATCTGTGCCCACCACCGTACCTATCACATCAAGAAGACGACCTGAGATTGCCGTTGTGGCAATCTCGTAATCTACGTTTAGGAGGCTTATCGGCCTCCAGTTTTTCGTTTCTAGACGGTCGTTCTTTTTATATAATACTATAATCAATCCCCGGCGCTGAGAGGTGGAAAGCTGGCCGGTCTTGTAAGCAACGTTGAGAACACGAATCAGATCAGTGCCGAAGGATTGCCAAAAACGTAGGTAAAATTCCATCGGAAAGCCATCCGACCCTGGAGTTTTACCATGAGGCATGCCTGACAAGGCTTTAAAACACTCCTGCTCAGTCAAAAGGCCCTCACAAGCATCACGTTCCCCCTGGGAAAACTTGCGGGTGACCTTTGCCAACATGTCCTCTTGTGCGACAGTGTCACACTGCTGAGCAGTAAAAAGGGAGGCATAATAACGCTGCCACACACCCAACATGTCAATAGGGTCATGACAGACCTGACCCGATACGGGATCACGGATAGACGACACCCTCTGGCATGCCTGATGTTTAGCCTCAAGCCCAAAGAAATAGGACGAGGAGGACTCACCCTCCTCCGCCCACTGGCACCTAGATCTTGTTTGTGCCCCTTGAGCTTCGTGCAAAGCTATTACACGTAGGTCTTCCTGCACCTGACAAAGCTGTGCAAAGGCAGATGGATCACCAGCCTCGAAGAGGCGTCGCAACTTATGCATCTGTCGTGTGAGGGAAGACTTTCGGTTTCGTCCATCCTCAGCCTTAGCCTTTGAAAATGTATGAGTGACCTCTCGCAGATAGTACTTGCCCTTGTCCCACCAATCCAGCAAGGAGGAGTACTCATCAGAACCCTCCCTACTTTGCCAGAAGGACCAAAAGGACGCGACGAGGTCACAATACTCGGGGTCATCCAGGAGGGAGCTGTTGAATTTCCACACCCCTGGACCCCTGAAGTTCTGTTCCAACTCAAATTTGACCAGCAAATAAGAGTGGTCACTAAAAAAGGAGGGATGGTATTCACACTCCTTGATGTTGTCTTGGAAAACAGTGGGGGCCCAAACCATATCTATCTGTGAAGCAAACTGCCCAGACCCATGGGTCCAGGAGTAGGCCGTCTGACCTGGATGTAATACGGATAGGTTTGGGTAGCCGAAAGCAAAGATTGTAATGCCGGCCCACTTTCCTGATATTGAGCCGTCTGGCTCCCAGTGTAAGTTGACCGACGCTTCCGATCCAATGCACTGTCCAAGACACTGTTAAAATCCCCACAAATGAATGTGGGGCGACTCAAGTCAATAAGCTCTGGGATTGAGGAAAAGAACCGATTACGCTCCGGGTTCTTATTCAGGGCGTACAGAGAGACGAAAGAAAGCAAGTGTTCGTCAGCCTCCAAATGCACTTGCACAAAACGGCCCTCCTCATCCCTAATGACCTTATTGACCTTATGGGTATCCCTTACAAGAATGGCCGTGCCACAAGATTTATTTGACACCGACGAGGATACCACCTTATAACCCGTATTACTGAACCACTTTCTTATGGACTCGTGCGATGAGGCATGCGTTTCCTGGAGACACGCAAAGTCAACCCTCATGCACTTAAGCCAGTCCACAAGTGCGGTTCTTTTTAAACGGTCGCTTAGACCATTAACATTCAACGATAAGAGATTGAATGTTAATGGTCTAAAGAAGAGGAACCATCTTCCTTCTCAGCTGTTGCTTTGTTAAGTGCCTGCCACAAGGTGGCAGCATCTTCCAGACTGTGTGAAGCATTGGCAGCATCTTGAAGGAGATGTTCAGTAAGTTCA